AGAAGAGGTCGAAATGCAACAGTTAACCCAACCCCTCCATTTCTTGTAGAAACTCATCTTTTTCATTATAAAATTTAAAAAAAATCAGTCCACTGAATCATAGACTTTTCTGAAATCGACTTTGAAAACAATAGCTTTTCGCTTATTATGCTTTAAGTCATCTATGATTTCATTAGCAATCAGAGGGAAATCTGATATGTGTTTGACTTTCACAAAAGCGAACTGATTTTCGCCCACCACTTCACTGATACAGCCTATCAACCTTCTAGCAAGCACTCTTGTCAAAACCTTGTAAAGACTGCCCATGAGTGAAATCGGCCTAAAATTTTCAAAACCTTCAGGTGCAGTCTTCTTCGGCATATGGGTCATGAAAGAATAGTTGAAGGACTTATCCGTTACACTTCCTTAAAAAAAATCATAGAAGAAGACCATAATCTCTCCTTTAATAACATTTTAGAACTTTTTGTAGAAGTCCAGATCAAAGCCGTCGGAACTGGGAGCACGCGACCCATCAGTTGACGAGATGGCATCCCAAATCTCTTGTTCCGAGAATGGATCCCTGATTGATCTTCTTGACTCCACGAATAGTTTTCTTAAAGGAACTTCAAAATGTTTTACTGCCACGGTCTTCACTTCATTAAAGCTGTCACAGAAATGGGATTCAAGGGCCTTTGATATGTGCATCTGACTGTTAACCACCGCATCCCCCACCCTTAAGGAAGAAATATGGTTTACTCTTCCTCGCATGGCAGCAATAATATGGAAGAACTTTGTGTTTTTTTCGCTCTCTTTGAACCACTTCAGTCTTGATTTTTGAAGTCACTCTCTTCCTCTCGCCTATATTTTCTCCATAATTTTGCTTTTAACGTCCGAACTTCTTCTGATAAGTCTTATTGTAGCCCGATGATATCAAGCATCCTTCCAACCTTTCTATTTTATCTTCAATCAATTCAGTAGAATTACGATCCTTATCTCGATCAGCTGCTGCCCATGGCTTCGACGCTTCTTTCACCTTTGTCAAAAGAACACCATGTTTACCGTTGATGCAAATTTTATTCTGAACAGAAATTATTTTGAAGGCTTTGACAACCTTCAAACTTTGGTATCGTTGTTGGTTCCCTTAAAATTTACACTGATCTTTTCTATTTATTTGGGAATATTTTCTCAAAATATTTTTTTTATTGAGCTTTGCATTTTAATTTTGCAGTATTCACCAGGAGTTTAATGCAAAGCATACTTAAAGGTGAACAGATTTGTATGTAAAGTACGTGGATATGCCTATAATACATAAAGAGAGTGATTGAGGTTAAAACATTACTTGTGTTGGGTGATTGATAGCAAAATATTCATTAGCTTTTAACTCTACATATATGCATGTAAACGAACTCGTTCAGCCAACCGTTCGTGAATCGTTCATTTATGTGCATTTATTTATTAAACGAACAAATATAAATAAAACTTTATGTTAGTTTAATTAAATGAATGAGCACGAACAAAGGACTCGTTCGTTCATTTACATTCGTTAATATTCGCTAATCCGTTCGTTTATATTCATTCATTTATGTTCATCTATATTTGTTTATGTTCATTTATGCTAATTAGTTTATATTCAGCCTAATCTCCAGACATGTTTCAAATATTAAGGCTTAATAAATTTTAATCTTAAACTCATTAATATTTTAAAACCAATTAATTTTAAACTTAAATAAAATACTCAAATCAATTAAAAAAAATATAAATCCTAAAAGTATTTGGAAAAGAAAAAAAATCTTCTTAAATATAAACCCAATTAATTTTATATTCGTTTGTTTACGTTTGTTCGTTTGTATTAGTTTATCATTTTAACGAACGAACATAAACAAACACAAACACAAACAAACTAAATTTCTTAACCAACAACATGAACAAAAAATTTCATTCGTTTAGAGAGAGAGAGGGGGGAGAGAGAGAGAGAGGATTATTTGATTTAAATTATTTTAACGATTTGATGTGGTATTTTTTTTCTTTATTTGTTATGATTCCTTTCTGTTTAGAGATTGACAATGACCAATGTCCACTTAGCAAGTTCTTAGCATAAACACACACACGCATTATGTTATGTTTATATATGTATATATAATATACAGAAAGTGCCCAATGTATACATGATTTTTCAGTTTAGTGTCTAATGTTATTTTTTGTTTTAGTTTGGTGTCTAATGTTTCGTTCCATTATTCAAATGGGTCACGTTATAATAGACCTTTAGTTTTCTCCGTTAAGTGACACGTGTCACAATATGGTAATTTTAAAAAATTTCTTTTTAAAAATAAATATTAAAAATATTAGTATATTTATAAAAAACCTTATTTCTTTTAAATTACAAAAAACTCCAAATCCTAACACCGAATCTTATCCACCGTGGCGGACGGCTACTACGACGTGACCCACCAGTTGGGTTTTGAGCGGACGGCTACGAGGAAGCTAAATATAATGATGGGGAGGCAAACGGAGGTCCAAAGCGTTCAGAATCGTCCAAAATCCGAGGAGTCGGGTTGGGTTTTCAGCGAAACTTCAAGGGTTCGATTCCAGCGAACGGCGACGACTATCCACGTATTGTTTTGGGGGGTTTTGATCATGGCGACGATGTGTTTCGATTGAGCTGGGCAGTGACAAGAACGGACGAGCGGCGGCGGCGGTCGACGTGGATTTAGGGGTTCAAATGTAGGTTTTCAAAATTTTGGAATTATTTTGAAATTAAAGTGTTTTTGATTTTAAAAAATATATAATTTTTGAGATTTTTCTCATTCAAACAACCCCTCCTTTTGAGTTCTTACCCCGCCTCTCACCAGAGCCCATGGAGCTCTTACTGGAAAATACCAATGGCGATAACAAATCAATAATCAGTCAAAACCAAATAAAACGGGAAATCATCAAACCCATAAGAAATAACATGAAGGAGAACAAAAACACAAACAATATGCAAGCATTCAATAAACATGAGAAAAATCCCAAAAGTTATATATTTTTTAAAATAAAAAACACATTAATTTCAAAATAATCCCAAAACTTGAAAACCTTCATTTCAACCCCTAAACATATGCCAACCGTCGTTGCCGCTCGTCCCTTCTTATCACCGTCCAGCCCAATCGAAGCGCCTCGCCGCCATGATCAAAACCCCCAAAACAATTTGTGGATAGCTGTCGTCGTTCGTCGGAATCGATCCCTTGAAGTTTCGCCGAAAACCCACCCTGACGCCTTGGATTTTAGACGATTCTGGCCGCCTCGGACCTCCGTTCATTTCACTGCCACTATATTTACCTTCCTCGTCTTCGTCCGCTCAAAATCCAACCGGTGGGTCACGTCGTAGTCACCGTCCGCCGCCGTGGGTAAGCTTCAGTGTTAGGATTTAGGTTTTTTTTAATTTAAAAGAAATAAGAGTTTTTTTATAAATATAATAATATTTTTAATATTTATTTTTAAAAAGAAAATTCTTAAAATTATCATATTGTGACACGTGTCACTTAACGGAGAAAACTAACGGTCCGTCACAACGTGACCCATTTTGAATAACGGAATAAAATGTTAGACACCAAACTAAAACGAAAAAAACGTTAGCCACTAACTGAAAAAATAGGCATACGTTGATCACCTTTTGTATATTATATCCATTAAGTTAATAACAATGATCTATAACTAAAAGTCAGTTGGTCGTCTTATATGCTAGGATAAATATATATTTAATATTTGAATTTAATTTTAAAGTATAATTTGATGTCTTAAGTAATAATGATTGTAAATAATTTATTTAAATTATAAAAATCATATTTAATTATTAATTTAAACATAAAAATTTAATTTTTATTTTTAACTAAATTTAAAAATTAATATAAAATATTTTCAAATAATATTTAAAGGAAAAAATCCGTATAATGTGTTACAATTATTTTTGCATCTAAAGTGAATATTACAACGACTTATGAAAGACATCAAAAGACCTAATGACTTTTTTAAAGATGTTTAGAAGATTCGATGACTTCTTCAAACTCAATGCATAATCGCAATTAGAGGTGAACAAAAAATTCGAATATCCGATTTTGCCTAAAAAATATCCGAAATTAGATTTTGGAAAAATCGATTTTTTTTTAAATCGGATCGGATATTTAAAAACCAGATAGTATAACCGGTTTGGGAAAAAATTGAACGACCGGTTTTTTTACCGGATAAAAAACCGGTTTTTTTTCAAACCGGATAAAAAATCTATTTTTATCCGAAAAAAAATCCAGATTTTTAAAAAAATTGGATTTTTATCCGAAAAAATCTGGTTTTTTTAAAAAACCGGTTTTTTTGCAAACCGAAATCGGTTACACCGGTTACACTATCCGGCCCTCCAAACCGGTTAGGATCCGATCCAGTTTTTTAAAAATCCGGTTTTTGGGTTGGGGAAAAAACCGGATCGGTTTTTATCCGATCCGGATCGGATTGAAATCCGGCTTCTGTGCATCTCTACTCGCAAGTGCTTTTTCAAAAAAAAAATATTGAAATTATGGTATTTACTGAACATTATCTTTATCTTCTAAAGATAATAGTCTTCTAATTATCTTGCATATGATCTTTTAGCATTCACCTAAATACTAAGTTAATTTTCCTAAAACATGAGAAATTTTTTCCCAAAACATTATTTGGTAAAATTTAACAGTTATGTACGATATTAAAAATTAGAAAATGAAGATGTATACTCAACCAAGAGACATGCCTGCCGCACAAGAAGGCACTTAAACCCGAATATCCGTTTGGGGTTCTTTCGGGGGGTTCAATGTACTTACATTGAAGGGCACCTACTTGCAAAACACATGGCGTAGGCAATGACAAAATCACCCACCTCTGCACTTTCTACACCCACTTACTTCACGTCCATGTCCTCCACGTAGCCCTAATCCCTCCCCGCTAAAAGCCAACAATAACCGCATCGCCACGTGGATTCTAGATGCATTCCTACTCAATTCCTGCCACGTGTCCCTTCCCTTCTCTACTCTCCTCTCCTCTATAAATTCCTCGTTCTCCGGTTGATTCCAAGTTTCAATCGCCAGAGCGCGCAAAGCTGAAGAAAAATGACGGCAACGGAGTTACAATTACCCCCTGGCTTCAGGTTCCATCCGACGGATGAGGAGCTCGTCATGCTCTATCTCTGCCGTAAATGTGCATCGCAGCCAATCGCCGCCCCGATTATCGCCGAAATCGACCTTTACAAATACGATCCGTGGGACCTTCCTGGTAAACGTTCTTTCTTTATTCTCTTCAAATCATAAATCTTTTTCATTATATTTTTTCTAATGTGTGTTTTTGTTGAATTTACAGAATTGGCCTTGTACGGCGAGAAAGAGTGGTATTTCTTTTCACCGAGAGATAGGAAATATCCCAACGGTTCAAGGCCGAACCGTGCGGCAGGATCTGGGTATTGGAAGGCAACCGGAGCTGATAAGCCGATTGGAAAACCAAAACCGGTCGGTATTAAGAAGGCTTTGGTTTTTTACGCTGGGAAAGCTCCTAAAGGAGAGAAAACTAATTGGATCATGCACGAGTATCGTTTAGCTGACGTCGACCGGTCGGTTAAGAACAAGAAGAGCTCAAGGGTACAAAAACTTTTTTACTTATTTAAATTTTTCTAATAATCTGAAATGATTACGAAAAAATCACGACATTGGAAAGGGATTTTAGTTATTACTTTCCTGTCGAGGAAAATATTCTTTCCTATTTTACAGGAGTCATGAAAACGTTAAATTTATCGAATTAGGACTTTATATTAGCATTAATTAATGAAAGCTGACGTGTTTGTTGTAGTTGGATGATTGGGTGCTGTGCCGGATTTACAATAAGAAAGGTAGCATCGAGAAACAACCCCCGCAGGCTAGATTCAACCAGATCGTGGACAAGAAGCCGGATATTGCCGCACTGGAGATGGAAACGCGTGGGCTTCGACCGGCTCCGACGGGGACTATTAACGACGTCGTTTATTTCAACACGTCGGAGTCGGTCCCGAGGCTTCACACGGACTCCAGCTGTTCGGAGCACGCGTTGTCTCCCGAGTTCACGTGCGAGGTACAAAGCGCCAACAACGCCAATACTACTCTCGACTTTCATTACAATTACATGGATGCCACTGTGGATACCGGGGTTTCTTCCGAGTTCCAAAGAGGTAATCACCTGTCGCCCCTCCAGGATATGTTCAGGTACCCGCAGAAGCCGTTTTACAAATGAAGGGTGGATTTTGAAATGGGCTGTGTCTACACGTGTGGCTCCCTGTGTGTGCATCGCTACACGTGTGCGTAATAATAACAAAATTATTAAAGAAAAGAAATTTGATTGGTTGACTGAAAAGAAGATGGGCCGTATGAATTTTTGTGATGGTGATGGAACGGTGAAAGCTGGATTTTTTGTTGCGAAGCCCTAGTTTGTTGGTCGTCAAAAGTAAACGGATCATTTAGCCGATGGTATTGGTTTTGGGTCTGAAGAATCAAAATGGAATTTTATATTGAGAATTGTGCTAGAAAAAAAAATGAATTTAGAACGTAATATAAAAATATGTATATAATTTGATAATTCGAACACAAATCTTATTAAAAGAATATTTGTTTTAATTTAAAGGGATGTACTTTTTTGTATATTATATTTAATTTTAATCATTTATATTATTAATTTATTATCAATTGGTTAAATATATGTATAGTTATTGGATTCCTAAGGTACGTTGTAGTATGTTTCATTGTTCTAATTCGATGTTAATACTTATGAGCATGTTAAGAGTTGGGTGCTCCATTTTTACTCGCAATAAATTATGCCGGTTAAACCGATAATGAAAATGGTTAAGTTTACAACTTTAATAAATTAATAAAATAAGCCTTTATTTATTAATTAAGTTTTGGATATAATTTATCTAAGGTCTAAATCGTTGTTATATGAGTTAATAAAAGACAAAAATCTTAATAAGGAGTGGCGGTGGTGGTGTTAATTTGGTCTATATATCTTGATGATGAAAAATAATTAATGTATTTTATTGAATTGATATGTGATGATGAGGAATATTTATAAACTATTAATAGATTATATGGCTTGAAATCGATTAAATGTGTTTAGATGTATTAATAATGTTATATTAGCTTTTTCATCAAGCTGGTAATCGAGGATTTGGAGTAGAAAATTAGTAGTTTTGAAATGGATTTGCAAGTCACATGAGAAGATTATGCTGCTGTTGAAGTGTTAAGACGACTTAAATGTAGGCTTTGGGAAGAGTATAGAAAGGAAGAGCTATCTAAGTTGCAAAAATAGAGAGAGAGATGGATTTCGGAGGGGATCGAAATACTTCTTTCTTCCATAATTTTGCTTCTGCAAGGAGACGGGTTAATTTGATTAATTATTTGCTTGAAAATGGGTTGGGGATTGAAGACCCAAAAGATTAAAGAAGCTGATTTTTTATTATTTTCGAGGGGTTTATAATAAGAAGATTGCTCTGGACGTGGTTGACATGAATATTCCCTTTCCGAAGTTAGATGCAGCCCAAATAAAGCGGTTGGAGAACAAATTCACAGAGGAAGAAATCTTGCAAGCTTTCCAGTCCTCTGATGGTAATCGTGCACCGGGGCGGATGGGTTTAATTTTAATTTCTTTAAGAAATTTTGGTTGGATCTGAAGGATGAAATTATTCAATTTTTTGATGATTTCTACTATTCGGGGGAGCTTGATTCGCGGTTAAATCATTATTTTACTTCACTAATTTTGAAGAAGCTTAATCCTTAGTCTTTATAAGAATACATGTCGATTAGCTTGGCTGGAGGGGTATACAAACTGCTTAGTGAGGTCTTAGCAAGTCATATTCGTTTGGTGTTGGGTTCATTGGTTAGCCCGTTATTTTGGGAAGGCAGATTTTGGACTATGCTTTGGTTGCCAATGAAAGTATAGATATGCTAATGAAGAGCGAAAGATCAGGGTGATTTTCAAGGCTGATTTCAGGAAGGCGTACGACACAGTCAATTGTGAATTTTTTGTTGAGGGTGATGTATTGGGAAATAAATCGAGTACGAGTAATTTTCCTATAACTAGATTAGTGAGAATGTGAAATAAAAGCAGAAAAATAATACCCGAAATTGATAACGGAGTTCAGCCAATTTTTCTTACGTCTCCAGACTGCTGCAGATCTTTTACTAAGAGAGAAAATTTACAGGTTTTTACAAAACACTCACTACTCACAAGAAAGCTCTCTAGTAATGGGAGAAAGAAATGATTTTTGAGATGATTTTGAAGCTAAATGGGTTAGGGTATTTATAGTTGAAGCTTAGGGACTAATCTTATAAATACCCTAAAGTGTACAGTGGTTAAAAAAGTAATTAACCCATTTACAATTTTAATTAAAAATTGGGGCACCGAATTCGATGCCCCTTTTGTTGATTTTAAACGCCCAAAGTTGCCTTTGTAGAAAACCATGTCTCCCGCCTCCCTTTTTGATTTTTTTCTTTCAACAATCTCCCACTTGAAGACTGATTTTAATCTGACTTCACACCTTGATCGATGCAGCAACATTTCTGGTCTTGTTACTCTAACATGCCAACTGAAGCTGAACACGACTTCAGTTTGTCTGTAGTCACCGTCTTTGTTAACATGTATGCCAGATTTTGAGCTCCACTAATCTTTTCAAGTTTCAAAATCCCATCTTCCAGAAGAGACCAGATAAAATGATATCGTAATTGTATGTGCTTCGTCCTGAAATGAAAAGACGGATTCTTTTCTAGATGGATAGCACTTTTACTGTCGCAATACAAGACATTGTTTTCTTGTTTCTTGCCTAACTCTTCCAAGAAACTTTGGAGCCAAGCCATCTCCTTGCTGGCTTCCGTAACAACAACATATTTTGCTTCTGTTGTGGAGAGAGCAACTATCTTCTGTAGTTGAGAACCCCAACTCACTGTGGTTCCTCTTAGTGTATAGACATACCCTGTAGTGCTCCTTCTGATGTCAACATTTCCGGCTAAGTCAGTATTTACATAGCCTATTAGTATCGTATCTCCACCTTTGAAACAAAGTGTTTTGTTTGTAGTACCCCACAGATATCTGAGGATCCATTTGACTGCTTCCCAGTGTACCTTTCCCGGATTATTCATGTATCTGCTAACATCTCCCACTGCATGAGCAATATCTGGTCTGGTACAAACCATGACATACATCAGACTTCCAATTACTGAGGCATACGACACCTTCACCATGTGTGCTCGTTCTTCCTCCGTCTTTGGTGACTATTCTTTGGAGAGTCTAAAATGAACACCTAAAGGTGTACTTACTGGTTTAACATCTTGCATGTTGAATCTGGAGAGTACTTTGTTGATGTACTCAGCCTGTGATAACATCAAAGTCTCCGACTTTGTGTCTCTCTTGATCCTCATCCCAAGAATCTGCTTTGCAGCGCCCAGATCCTTCATAGCAAACTGTTTCGACAATTTTTTCTTCAAGTTTATAATCTTTTGCATGTCTGAGCCTGCAACGAGCATGTCATCAACGTACAATAATAAAATAATGAAGCTGTTGTCGAACCTCTTGATGTAGCAGCAATGATCTGCTTGGTATCTGGTAAAACCACTACTACTCATGAAATTATCAAATTTTTTGTACCATTGTCTAGGAGCTTGTTTTAAACCATACAAGTTCTTCTTCAACCTGCATACCAGGTTTTTCTTGCTTGCCTCTATGAAGCCTTCTGGCTACCTCATATAGATTTCTTCCTCAAAATCACCATTAAAGAAAGATGTCTTTATATCTAACTGCTCAAGATGTAGATTCTCTACAGCTACAATTTTCAACACCAGTCTGATTGTAGACAGTTTTACGACTGGAGAGAAAATTTCATTGTAGTCAATACCTTCTTTTTACTAAAAGCCTTTGACAACCAATCTTTCTTTGTAGCGTTGGCTCCCATCATGCTCTTCTTTGATCCTGTAAATCCACTTGTTGTGGAGCGCTTTCTTGTCTGGTGGTAATTCAGCTAATTCTCATATCTGATTTGACATAAGCGAGTCCATCTCATCTTTCATGGAAGACTCCCACTTAGCAGAATCCTCCACATGCATTGCTTCATCATAACACTCTGGTTCACCATTGTCAGTCAGCAACAAATAGTTCAAAGAAGAAGAATATCGTTGGCTTGGTTTAGGAATCCTGGAGGAGCGTCTCATTTTTGGTGTGCCTGGTTCTTCTTGAACTGCTTCAGGATTGATCTAAATATCATTTCTAGAAATTTCCTCGCACTCAGTAAATTCTTTTGTTTCAGCTTCGGTATTGGAGCTACTTGATTCTACAGTTGACCTGTCTTTGTACATCACATTCTCATTGAAAATGACATCTCTGCTTCTGATGATCTTTCAATTTTCGTAGTCCCAAAATCGGTAACCGAACTCATCACCACCATAACCAATAAAGACGCATTTGTTGGACTTGGCATCAAGTTTACTTCTTTCAGCAGAATCTATGTGTACATAAGAAATACAACCAAATACTCTTAAGTGTGAAAGGTGTATTTCTTTCTTGCTCTAAACTTCTTCTGGTATTCTGTCATCCAAAGGAACTGAGGGCCCACGATTGATCAGGTAAGCTGCAGTGTTGATTGCTTCAGCCCATAGAAATTTGGGCAATCCGGCATGTATCCTCATGCTTCTGGCACGTTCATTTAGAGTTCTGTTCATGTGCTCTGCTACGCCATTCTGTTGCGGTGTCATGGGAACTGTTGTCTCCATCTTGATCCCATTGTTTTCGTAGAAATCTCTGAATCTTCTATTTCTGAACTCTCCTCCATTATCAGACCTCAACCGCTTGACTTTCAAACCATTCTCATTTTCTACCATGACCTTCCATTTTTTGAAGGTATCAAAGACTTCTGATTTCTTCTTCATAAAATAAACCCACACCTTCCTTGTAGAATCATCGATGAAGGTGACATAATATAATGAGCCTGCAAGAGATGGAACTGGAGATGGTCCCTATACATCAGTATGAACCAACTCTAACTTTTCAGCCTTGGGTGTCTTACCAATCTTTGCAAAGCTGACTTTCTTTTGTTTGCCAAAGATGCAATCCTCGCATAGTCCGATATCTACATTCTTTAGATTCGGCAGCTTCCCTTTTGAAAAAAGTGTCTTCATCTCTTTCTCGCTCATATGGCCAAGCCTTTGGTGACATAGGTTTGATTTTCCATTAGCATCTGCTACAGTAATGATATTCTCTAAGTTTGAGGTTACATCGAGAGTACCAGTCTTCTTACCACAAGCAATGACGAGTGCTCCTTTAGTAATCTTCCATTCACAGCCTGAAAAGGTTGTGCTATATCCTTCTCCATCAAGTTGTCCTACAGAAATCAAATTTCTTTTGAGGCCAGGAATATGTCTCACTCTTGTCAGCTTCCAGGTGGTCTGGTTTGGCAGCTTTAGTCGAATGTCTCCTTTTCCGACGATCTTCAAGGTTTCATCATCAGCTAGACGAACCTTCCTAAAATCACCACTGACATAGTTCTCCATGATTTC